TCTGTAAATCTTTCGCAAGACTTTTCTTTTAACAGCTCCCTCCAAGCTTCCACACCACATAGCAGGATGAGATTAATCAGCGAAATAGACTGTGGCTTCTTTTCTAGCCGAGAAAACTATTTAACTATGCAATGTCCAAGCTATTGAATAATATCTCTCCTTGACTCGGGCTAAACTTCCAATTCTTTGGTTCGGTTAGCTTCAATGCCAGTCGCAGGCTAACTTTAATGCCTACTCGACGCATAGGGAATATATAATTTTGTTCTCGGCTCCATCAGAAATAACGATTGGTTTCGAGCTCGTACTGAGAAATTTTTAAGTCCAGGACTTGGACTCGGATATTGATCTTAGAGACTAGCATCCATTCAAAAGAGTTAGGAATATTTATCCGAGTTTCTTTTCCATGACTCTCTAATACAAAGTAATATATTATAGGTTAGATAGATTAGGTAGAGAATTAATTTAAATAAAAATTTAGTTAAATTTTCTAATTGCGGTCGCCCCTCGGCAGGGAATGTTAACACCTCCCAGTGTATTTCTGACATGAAATAAAGCTCCTCATAAAAAACCATCAGCCGTTCAGAGGCGGCTTAGTATACAGTATGTCCCTCAATTTGTTTCAAAAACCTCAACACGCAAAATCACAAATTGGAGGAGGAGCTCGGCGGAAAATCGCTCCAGCGGTTTCAATTATTATATTATATATTTTAGGTTATAATCACTCGGGATATCCGAATGAATTTGCAGTTTTCGGGAGTGTTTTTCGTTTTACAACAATATTTTCCTTTTAATGAAACCCCCTACTTGTGCCATCTCAAACTTCGAGTGGTCCTCTTTCATTTGTAACCTTCGTTTCCGACTTCGGCCGCATTAATCACACCTTCGTAACATATCTAATATGCCATAAGCTCTCACACGAATATACTCGTATATGTACACTCTACACCTCAATTATAACAGTTAGTCTCGGAAGACGGCAAAACAAATCAACAGGCGGTTAACAACTAGTAAGTCTTCTTACCGACCCAGAAGCTTACTGCTGTGAGCTGTCATAAGTTATGAATCAATTTATTTACATACACACAGATACATATAAACACACATTCATGCATTCCGACGTTTTTTCTGCCTAGAAATACACATTTGCCCATACAAATATTCAAAGGTGTTCATACTCGTAGTGGCGTCTTTGGAATAAACTGGTTTATTTAGCTCGTCTTCGAATTAAAATATAAATTATTAGCGGTTCTTAGTATTAATAAGCATCTTAAAATAAATATGAAAGAAAGGCTTACGGTACTTGTTGAAAGTATAGTATTGAGAAGAGGAAGGTAAATAATAGGAAATGGGAATGCAGTCAAGCTGAAGATTGTGCGAAGGAAGTGGCAAAGTTGAGAGTACGAAGATGAGGCTGTCAATATTTGTTTGGAGAGTTTCTTTTTAGAGGAAACAAATTTCGTATTAAAGTTTTTAAATAAGCTTAAAGTCAGCTTTTAACAAAGTGGCATGATTTAATCTCTCTAAAAGCAAGTTAATATTTGAGGTCTGTGCACAAAACTAAAGTCCAAAATAGGGATTTCGCGTAAAAGCTTAATTGCTTGGCGATATAATAAATCTGAAAAGTTTCTTATCTAATAGAATGTATCGATAAGAGAGATTACTGTTGATTCTTCCAGCGATACTGCTTCCAAATCTTTCCAAAATATTGTAAATCCTTCCAAAAACTTCACTCTAGAAAATTTCTAATAGCGTGAGACGACGGTTCAGTACGAAATTGTTGGACGGATAAAGATGTGTAGATCCGCTTCTGGTCTACAGTTATATTTGAAATGCTCAGTTCCTACTCTCTCGTACTAGCAGACCGTACGAAATATTTGATTTCGTTGTTGACTAAAGTGTTCCTTCAACAGGAACGCGGCTTCACCTTTTGTGACCATTACAGCGAGCATTCTATGAACTATGATTTCTAAGCATATACCTGAAGCATACGCTGCCCTAAATGGGAAGCTCTTTAATATTCTCATAAGAATGTAAGCTAACTTTAGCCGCATCCAAGAAACCTCTGTAGTTATGTTAGATTAAAGTAATTTCTGGGCATCAGCTCACTTACATAGACCGCCAAATGGACCCATTGAGTTACCACTGAAGATCCTTATGATCCCAACCCGTTAGTAAAAGTCAATGTATGGAGTTTGCAAAACAGAGCAAGCGACATATATTTGCACTCGCTTTTCGCTCAAGTATATTCCCATAGAGATTTCACTGTATTGCACCGAAGAGCCGACTGTATTAAGGCGTCACAAACTACCTTCTCTCTACAACTTCAACTTAAGCTGTTCGTTGGTACGCCCAATAGTAGTTGCTCGGTAAGAATAATCATTGTTGTCGATATCACCTTTCTTTCTAGCGCGTTAAGGTATCGTAATAGTTTTTTGTGGACGCTGAACAGTGACAGTGGTTTGCTCAAATTCTTCCGTTATGGCAAAAATGGAAGGGAGGCGCCCTTATTTGTGAGTGGGATCTCATTACCATATATATTACTATGCCTACTCACCCATACTCGGATCAGAGATAACTGCTTAGTCATTATGCTCTCAATGCGGCCTTACTGTTCAAAAAGATTTATAAATACAATTTTCTGAGAATACCAATGTGTTTGGACAATTTTTACTCGCATTTATAGCCACCATTTTGGACTAAAACCCCTGTTGTGATCCGATAAACGGAGGGTTTGCTAATATAACACTCCCTTGAGGCGTAGGTACTTTTCTACCTTCTCATACGTATGAAAATATCCATTGGGTTTCCAGCTGGGATAACTCCCTTGAAATTTGTTGTGCAGTAGACCACGGCTCTATAAAACAGTGCAATGTTCATATCAAATTCGAGGTGAGAGAGAAACTCTGTCGTCGCTCAGTACTGACATTCACTGCTGTCTAGTAAAGCTCTTTAACGGAACGTTCTTTTGAATTCACGCTCTGTTGGAAGATAAGTATTCTATGACCCTATTTGCCATTTATGCGCAGCGACCGCCGATGGCGATTTTAATGCAAATTTGGGCAAAGAAGCTATATTCCAAACGAAACATGCCTAAATGGGTTGAGGTTTTCCGACGTCACCTTGCTCGACATGGCTGCCTACGTATCAAAAGTCTCGTATCATTCTTAATTTACCTCGTATTATAGTCTCCATCATTAGATCAAAACTGGTCTGAAGCATCGTTAAGTAGCGAACGTCTCGGAGCAGATATTTCTATTGTTGGTAAAACCACTAGGTCATAAGTGTCGAAAGAGTATCTATTACATGTATAGGGAAGCGTTAAGGGTACAAAAATTTACCCAACGTCATGTCATAAAAGGCGACTAAAATACAATGGTTCCCTCGACAGTCGGGTCTTTATATCGAAATGGAAAATTTTTTCCAGCCAAGGAGCGTCGCTCCTGGCTGAAGGGCAGCCCCTTTTCGCATTGACGAAGGCGAATTTTAAACCAAGGATGAGATGGTGTGTATTGACCTTTTTCTCCCTGATCTTTTCCAAGATAACGTAGCTGGTTATTTACAAGGTTTGAATATATACTTTGATTTATTTTTTATTCCAAATGTATTTGAAGCCGTCTCTTAATCATGCCTGATGGCTATGGCACTAACTCCGATTAGGATTCATCAAGAGCGGTGTCTGGGCTCGACATCTCCCGCCTATGGGATTTTTTTCGGTTTTTCCCTTACCGAGAGAGATTTTGAATTGTCCTGCTAGTGACCTTAAAGCCTTCCTTAAATTGTTGGCGATGTAGAAATTTGTAACTAGTGATGATAGGATCAGCAGTGCCGTCTGGTTAGTACTTGCGCTACGAAAATGCTGACTAAGTTTAGTAGACGTACAGATAGAAGGATGTAAAGTGCTTGAAGTATTAGCCCGCTCACACCCCGCTAATTTTCGAAGCTTCTCACCTACCAGGCTCTTTCTTCATTCTCGTAAAGAGAGATATCGGTGTATTTGGGAAAGTCGTAATACCAGTTGCTTATAGACAGAGAACACTGTACCAATGTCAATGATCGTTAGATCAGGTTCTCCAAAACATATCTACAAATCGTGCGTATGTACATGTGTATATAAGATTATTGTCAGTTTGTATTATATATGCAAATTCAACCAAAAATGCGAGCATTTACAAAGCTAATGGATTGTTAATACATATTTTAGTGTATAATTAATGATTACATTGACACACTTTGATAAATAAAAAAAAATATAACAGTACATATTTCGGATCTTGGTTTTATTTCGATATTCAAGCGTTTTTTGTTAATCATAAACTTTTAAGCCTTAACAAAAAAGGTGTGTTATTCAAAAAAAAAAAAAATCCACGTTCGCACGCACAATTTCAGACGCTTTCCGCCGCTCGTAGCTCTCGTGGACTGTTATCAAAGCGACAAATAAAGTTAATAAGAAAAGAACAATTAACAAATTAGGCACGATGAATAAATCATTGACCACGCCAAAGCACAGCACAGCACAGCAGCACGACAATTCCACAAGATATCTACTGATAAAGTCAGTCAGCGTTAGAGCTAGCGCCAGCGCTACAGACTGAGCACCTACTGTTGTTGGCGCTGGCTTAACCAGTTTTATTTTCATTCGAATTTGCTTGTGTTTAAATGCGCTTTGGCGCGCATCTCCACAAAAACGCTGTCCCACTGATTGACTGACTGCCTAATTGATCGCCTCAGTCCATTTATCCGCCACTCCGCGCGCTCGCCTGACGGACTGAGCAACTACTCGTATCAGGCACAGACACACAACACCGTGAGGCACACGCTCTGAGCGCTTTGACTACGGCTGAGTGTATTTACGTACATATGTACATACATATATACATGGTTGGTTGGACAACAGATCGATGGCTCTGTGATGTGATCCGCCGCGCTGTACCGCGCAAACCGTGCTGGCTGGACATATAAATGCGAAGCATCTCTGAAATCAGTCTTCAACGGCACGCGAACGTGAGAACAACAAACAGAGTTGTGGAAAGCTCTAGGCAGCTAAAACCGTTGAAAGAATATAGTAAATAAATACGCTTGAATGGGATTAAAACAAGCTAATAAACTTGGCAAATTATTATAAATTAATTTCTGTTCGTTACGTACGCGCTAACGCTTTGAATCGTTAAAAAGAAAATAGCACGCTTTCGCACACCTTTTCCGTGTCGCGACCATAACGAGCTCGTGTGTGAATTAGTCGAATAAGCAAAATGACAACACGTCTAACGGTCCGCAAGCGCGAACGCTCATCCTCAACATGCGTGTTAAGATTACTCGCACGCGTTGCGTACATTCTATTCGCTTGCGGAGCTTGCGTTAATGCCAAGGTGTTCGATCGTTGTGAATTGGCGCAAGTATTGCATAATAAACACCGTCTCGACTTGCATGAGGTCGCGACATGGACTTGCATAGCGCAACATTCGAGTGATTTCAATACGGAAGCTTACGCGGGCGGTTTGGCTGGCGGTTCGCATGGACTTTTCCAGATTAGTGATGTATACTGGTGTTCGCCGCCTGGTAAGGGCTTCGCCTGCAATCTACCTTGTGAGCGTTTACGTGACGCTGATTTGACAGACGATTTAAGTTGTTTGCGCATCATTTACGATGAACATCAGCGGCTCTCCGGTGACGGTTACAATGCATGGAATGCCTATCAACAGTTCTGCCGCCATGGCGTGGAGCAGTATGTGCAGGACTGTTTCGGAGCAACTCAACACGTTATAAAGCCGGCAGCGTCTCAAAATTTTGGACACACCGCACCCTTCGACAACGCGCCAGCCCCTTACTACACGCCGAACTCATTGTCCGTGCATACGAACGCTATAAGCAACAGTTACTCGACACATAAACGCGGTAAGGTTTACGAACGTTGCGAGCTGGCGCAGGAACTATACTACAAGCACAAAATGCCAATGGAACAGATACCCACTTGGGTTTGTATCGCGCAGCATGAGTCTCGCTTCGATACGGCGGCTGTGGGTCGCCTCAACGCAGATGGCAGCGCTGATCATGGACTCTTTCAAATAAGCGATCTCTACTGGTGTTCGCACAATCGTTATAGTGGCGGCAAGGCATGTGGTCTGCAATGCACTAAGCTCCTGGACAATGATATTACCGACGATGTGCGTTGCATCAAGCGCATACACGGTGAGCATACGCGTCTCTCTGGTGATGGCTTCACTGCTTGGACGGTCTACAATCGCAATTGTCAAAATCAACAGTATTCACACGTATCCGCATGCTTCAAAGACCAACCCTACGAACAGTCAGTTAAGACAACACAAGTACACACTGCACACACACACACATTCCCCTCATATCAAGCACCCCAAGGCGCGATCCAAACACAATACCAGGCAAATCCTTTCCTAAACAATCATATTGGCCCAGCACACAAACCTTCCGCAACAACACTACAACACCAACAACACAAATACACATCATTCCCAAATACTCACACACAGACACAGACACAAACACAAACACAAAAGCACAAGGGTAAAGTTTATAAACGTTGTGAATTAGCTCAAGAATTGTATTTTAAACACAAATTTCCAATGCAGGATATAGCTACGTGGGTGTGTATCGCCCAACATGAATCTAACTACGACACAGCAGCAGTCGGACGTCTCAATGGTGATGGCAGCGCGGATCACGGACTCTTTCAGATCAGCGATCTCTACTGGTGCTCACACGACAGCTTCGGCGGCAAAGCGTGCAACATACCGTGTACGAAGTTGCTCGACTCCGATATAGGTGACGACGTTCAATGTGTGCGAATCATATACGAGGAGCATACGCGTTTGTCGGGCGATGGTTTCACGGCGTGGACAGTTTATAACCGGAATTGTCGCAATAGGCGCCTGGAGGAAGTCGCTAACTGTTTTGATAGCAACGAAATAAGTAAGACGCAACAATTTTTAACAACCACAACAACAACAACTCAGGTGAGCAGTCACAGCAATAATTACAACAGCAAAAACAACAGCATAACAACTACCTCAACGGGGCTGGCGTTGCCAACGACAAAGGGTAAGATTTACAAGGAATGTGAACTGGCGCAAGAGCTCTACTACAAACACCACTTACCGCTCGCCGACATATCAACATGGGTTTGCATAGCTAAACATGAATCCCGCTACAACACAGCCGCTGTGGGTCGGCTAAATGCGGACGGCAGTGCCGATCATGGACTCTTTCAAATCAGCGATCTCTATTGGTGCGCACACGATGCGTATGGTGGTAAGGCCTGCAATATACCGTGTCACAAGCTACTCGACGCGGACATCAGCGATGACGTGCAATGTATACAAACTATACACGCCGAGCATACGCGTTTGTCGGGTGATGGCTTTACCGCGTGGGTGGTTTACAATCAACATTGTCGCAATCAACAATGGGAACGCATAGCGAGTTGCTTCCCAACGGAATTGGAAACGCACAGAATGCAACCAGCTGTAGCGGGTAACGTTGGAACAAGCGCGCACACAGAAGTCGTTACAAGCGTTGGTAAAGGTAAAATTTACAAGAAATGTGAACTCGCACAGGAGCTCTACTTCAAGCACAAAATGCCAATGCAGGAGGTACCCACTTGGGTGTGCATAGCAGAGCATGAGTCCAGCTTTAATACGGCGGCTGTGGGCCGCTTGAATGCAGATGGCAGCGCCGATCATGGACTCTTTCAGATCAGCGATCTCTATTGGTGCTCGCACGAAGTCGCCGGTGGTAAGGCATGTCACATCTCCTGCAATAAACTGTTGGACAATGACATCACAGATGATGTACGCTGCGTAAAGACGATTTATGAAGAGCACACACGGCTAAGCGGTGACGGTTTTACAGCGTGGACGGTTTACAACCGAAACTGTCGCCACCAACAGCTGGATCGTGTAAGCTCTTGCTTTGACGCCAAGGAACTGCAGCAGGCACAGAAAGCGAGCGGCAGTACACAACGTGAGCGCCCAAATTATAGTACTCATGTTAATAGCATTAACCCAATCACCACACCGCCGAAAAAGATCAAACATAAAGGCGAACTAAATCATCCCTTTGTCTATAACCCCTTTTTGAACCAATATAGCGCAGTAAAATTCGTGCCAACTACAGTAATGCCTAAGAGAATAACAACAACTGCCAAACCAATCACAAATTACGGTGTCACTACTAATGCAGTTGCTTTTTCGAAGAGTGATTTTCTAAGCAATCCATTCTTAAGTCAATTCATACCAACACAAAAGCACGTTGCTGTCACTAAACCAACGCCACAGTCTATAACAAATACTAACACAGGTTCCTTAGGGTCAAATATCGCCTCTTACGCCGCTAATCCTTTTCTCAGCGCTTACCAACAAACTAATACCAAAAAACACACCACAGCAGCACCAGTAACAGAGAAACCACAAAAACTTAATTTGCAATCCAATCCATTCCTCTCGCAATACACTGGACCCTTAACAAGCTTAACACCAACCTCAACCCCCCAAACATCAAGCAATAAAGCTTCAAACACGCGCGAAAATGTAAAACAACCGCAATCACAGCAAAAACAAAGTTACCACACAAATCCATTCTTATCTCAGTTTATCGATCAATCATCGGTTCTAACCTCAATAACAAACATCAATCGAAAAGCAACGACAAACGCGCCATACAGGTCACAATCCCACGCGCAGTTTCAAAATAATCCTTTTCTACAAAAAATTTCAGCGCCCACTAGAGAGCCACAACACACACGCCCAACACCGAGTAGCACAGAAAAAACGAAGCTTCACGTTTATCCCACGAAACCCTATGTGAATAGTGAAATATTCCGCACAACACCAGTGAAAGCCCATGGCGGAGCTACCACAACTCCAAAACCAGCGAGAACAACGCCAATGCCGCAAACACAAACTACAAAACAATACTATGCCGCGTTGCTCACCACCACCACAACGACGAGGAAACCCACCACTTTGGCAACAGTTGTACGAAAACCCACAGCGAATAGTGCAGTGGGCACCACTAAACGACCCGGCACCGCGAGTACTTGGAATTGGCGTCAACCGCAACAACAGATACTGCCCACAAAGAGTACTACAACACGAAAAACAACAATCGCTACAAGGAATCCCACAAGTACGACGCGTAAGCCGACAGGTACGACTCGCCAGCCGACAAGCACAAGCAGGAAAACCACCTTTAGCACAACTAGAGCGCCACAAACTACTCGTAGATCGGGAAATATAGTGCAAAGCGCGCAAAAAACTGAAACAATAAACACAACAAAGAAATCGCTGACAACGAAAGTTCCAAAAACCACAAAAAATCCCGGCTTGTACCAGGAAAAGAAAACAACTTGGAATACCGTAACTTCAACGACGACGAGAAGATCGCAAACAACGCAAACTACTGTTAACCAGAAAATAAAAAATGCAACAACAACTAAAAGGCCAGCTACCACACAGAATAGCAGCTTTAAGAAGCCTACGACGACGACCACAACGACAAGAAGGCCAACAACGAAACAAAGTGTCACGAAAACTACCTCAAGAACGGCAAATAGCCAAACTGCCAACAACAAAACCAACACCCCAACTACAACGCGCAGAACTACAACAACTGTAAGAAGGACTACTGCTGCTACAACCACTCGCCCCACACGTAAGGCAACAACACCTATAACTGTCAAAACGCCAATAACAAAAAAGACTTCAACAACAAGACGTCCAACGACAACTCCAACAAGTCTAAATAATTTTAGTACCACAAAAGTGCCATATACAGTTAAGAAAGTCACAACAACACCAACAACATTTACACAATACACAAGAACAAGTACGCTAAAACCGAAAATCACAACAGCAAAAACAACAACCACTACCAATCGCCCAAGCACTGCTGCTACAAGAAAACCGGCTGCGCATGTAGCGAGTAACACAAGCTTCTCAACGAATATTTCGAATAAAAAGTCCGACACTGGATCAAATAAATCCACCTCAACATCCGCGGTAATCCCCACAACAAATCCCTATCGCGATGATCCATTCAGCCATCCATTCTTTGCCAAATACAAATCACAATTTGAAATATTCGCCACAACAACTACACGTAAACCAACGAGTACTACTCGCTATCAGCTGCAAAGCCGTTTTGGCGACGAAAGCGAGTACTATCAGCAGTTCCGCAACCACACAGCTGGCAATGTGAAGACCGTCTATGCTTATGCATTTGGTCAAAATGGCACAGTGAGCGGAAATTATGGCAAATAGAGGATTGTTGAAGGTAGACAAATCAATGTAAATCGCTGAAGGATAATACTCAAGACTCTGTCGTTCGTAAAGGATAATACTCAACCGAGGAGTTGCTCACACTCACATACGTACTCGTACGAATGCAAGCAACTCGAAATGGAATTCAATGTAGCGTTAAGTGTTCAATATTCTATACATAAATATTTTGTGATGCTGTCAAAATGTGATTTTTTTATAACTGCACTATGAAAAGAGGTTTTACATACTCGTACACACATACATACGTACGTACGTGCTTGTTATGCGTATATAATGTAAATTGTTGCTTATATTACCGCAAGTCTTGAAATCAAATGGAGCAGATAGTTAATCTATTATAAATTTTTTAAATATTCTTTTACTTTTATACAAAGGAAACTATATCTTCATATATATGTACGCCCGAAATATATATATATATATATATATGTATATATGTATATACCAAGTAATAAATTTAAGTGATTCGCCGTTGTTATATTTACACACATACATACGTATTTAGCATGTAAAAAAAATTAATAATAAAATATAATTAATTGAAGAATTGAAAACTAGAAAAAACTACTATTTTCTTAGTGAAAGGTTATCAGTCTCGAAAAAAAGAGAAAAAAAAACAATTTCCATAACCCAAAAATAATTACACTATAAAATTTTATTGTTATTATTTTAGCCTTGACAATTATCATTGCCATGAAATTTGAGTTAGTTTCATATCCTCTGAAAATATTTACACCTGAAATAATTTATTGTTGCGATAAACAGTTAATAAGAACTTCCTTCTCCTTCATATTTTTCTTCTTCTTCCTCTTCTTCTTCCTCTTCTGCTTGTTCTTCTCTTCTTCTTCACTTTTCTTTCAATTATTCATTTCTTCTACTTCTCTTATTATTTTCACAGTTTTTCTTCTCCTTCTCTTCTGTTTCTGTTCTACCCCTCTGCTTCTTCTCTTAGCCTTCTTTTCTACTCTTCATCTTCTTCTTTGTTATCTTTATTCTTCTTCTATTCACCTTCTCTCCTCCTTCTCTTCTGCTCCTCTTTTTCTTCTCTTATTATTCTCATCCATTTTTCTACTTCTTCTCTTCTATTTCTCTTCTAATTCTGTTCTTCTCCTGATTCTTCTTCCATTTCTTCTCCTCTCCTTCTTCTCTTCTTCTCCTCTTTTTCTTCTTTGGCATTTCTATTCTCCTTCTATTCACCTTCTCTTCTCCTATACCAACTTCTCCTCTTCTTCTTCTCTTCTCTTTATAATTTTTTTTTTATAATTTTTTGTATAAAAGTACAAAGTGTCAGTAATATCTTTCCCAAGTTTCAAGTCAATCGAGACTTAGAAACTGTAGAAATAAGAGAGTTTTGTAACCCGGCGTCTTTGTCATGGCTTGACCGTTGGCGAAACTTTAAACGCGTGTTTGCTTAAAACCACTTTATCGAAATCGGTAGTCAAAATTTCTCAACGACTATTGAAGCGATCGAGTTCAAACATTCCACACTTCTTTTAAGCATGTTTTTTTAGTCCCTGAACGAAGGATCTATTTTATTTTTGATTTCAACTCATTTTTCAAGCCAAATTTTATGCAAAAAATTACGATTTTGTTAAAAGCGCTACAAATAATTCAATTTTTATTTTTTTTTTTTAATTTTTCTTCGTTCAGGGACAAGGAAAATTCACCTACTTTACGAAAAAGTTTCGATTTTCGTTTTCAGAAAAAAATTGAAAAAGTTATCATGACTACCGCGAAAGCACTTTCTTGTGAACGGTCTACTTTATGGCACTCCCAACGCCTTAACTTATACTATTTTTCATTCAAATTTTCTTCAAATTGTTGTCCACATTGTACTTTTATATGTAAAAAAAATAAATTCTGTACTTTATTTAGTATCTTTTAAAAAAATTAGAGGAAAAAAGCTTTTTTTTGGCCTTCAAGTCCTATGTAACCCCTCAATAGCAAGCAAAAAAGTTCACAAATCATCTGTGGACATCCTTTGACTTCAATTTAGATCTGGCAGAGGAAAGCAAATGCAGGTAATGCAGGGTCGTCTATGTGAGACCCGCTAGATTCAGCCAGTTCAACTTAACCTAACCGAAGGCTGTATTTTCCCATAGAGCTTTGGTGTTATTTTTCGACGATTTTCCTATACAAATTTACAAATAGGTGTTGTCAATTCATTTTCCTAAGGGGCCGTATGCCCTTAACTACTTGGAAACACATGTGTATTTATTTACAAATACGTACAGTGTTTATCAACAAACCGGTCAAAGAGGTATATCTACTCATATATCAATTGATTAATATCTCTAACGTTTTGTCTAAACAACTTTAGCATTTAGCCTTGTCAACGCGAAATAAATGTTTGTGTTTACTAAAGGAAAAAGTATTGATTCATTAATAAACAAAAATTAAATTTAAATAATAAATACTAATTTTAAATAATATAATATTTACAAAAAGGTAAATATAAAGCGTGTTTTTTTTAGAGATGTGGGTTTCAATGTGGCCATATTTTTTACGGATTTGGTTTTTTTGACAGCTGCTACTGGACTTATACTCAGTTTGTGCACACTTACTCTGGAACAACCTTTTCAAATTGTGCATATTTTTTACCAAAATAATGGTTCGTACCGATATATCCTATATTCGGTAGACATAATCGCCTAGCAGAGTCGGTAATTCGAGCAACCATGGATCGGCTTCAAACCACGTTTACCCTAGTGGATAATACGCATACTCGGAAATGCCATATATTCGTGTTGTGCACCCACGACGCTTTAGCTGCTGTGGTCACAATATAGAAAAGATTCGTATGAGTCCAGCCGCCATCGGGCGCATGGATTGGAGCTACGTCCTTTCACTCTATGGATAGTTTTCGTGAGGTATTTTGGTTTGTGAGCTCACCAAATCGAACTCGTTCGGTAAATGGGCCCAAAACAAGATGGCCACCGATACTGATTTTTACAAGACATTTTTGTTAAGCAAAAACAAGTCATCGTTGAGATGATGTTCAATCCTCAAAAAGTCACTGTTTGGTGTACTCTACGGGCAGAGGGAATCATTGGTTCATATTTCTTCAGAAATAAAGCCCGCCATAATGTTACACTCAATGGGGAAGGTCATGATTAATGACTTTTTGGTTACAAGAAGTGTAGAGTCGTCTTATGTCATACTTTTGGTGAGCACATTATCTCGCGCCGTTATGCTGTGGCGTGGCCTCCAATATCGCGCGTTTTAACACCGCTGAACTATGTCTTGAAGAGTTTTGTGAAGCCGCTTGGCTTGCTGCCAAAAGTGATCAAAAATTGGATCCCTCGGTTGGGAATTCATTCGAGCCAGCCCCAGCGGTCAAGAGCTGCAGAGCTAAATAGACCAGGTACAATCTTTTAGATGAGAATACAACTGCTAGCGTGTGCCGATGACATTGATATCAGACTTTAACAACCGCGTCGTTTATTCAGCCTTCTCCATGCCTAACAAAGAAGTGAACCGAATTTGTCTGGTAGTAAACGAGGACAAGACGAAATAGCTCTCATGAAACAAACATTTGGTACATTTCATAAATGGCTCTGCTACTTTGTACTGAGTAGGCAAACGAAACCAAAATTCATGTGCAGAAGGATGGACGATGTCGACATCGGATGAGCCTGCATTATGAGTCTTCGAGAGAAAAGTACAAGCTGTATGATGTCATTGATATAGTTGTGATATAGCGACTACGCTGACTACGTCATATCGTCCGAATGAATGAAAGTGCTTAAGCTTTGAAGTACTGTAAGCAGAGGAAAGGGAAGGCATCCACTCCGTTGGAAGGATCAAGTTGAAAGGTAGCTGGTTTCACTAGATATTTCCAACCGGCGAGGAACAGCGAAGAGAAGAAAGAATGACGAGGTATATTTGATTTGGCTATGAAGAAAAAGTAGCCGCGTCGGCCACTTGCCAGAAATTATTTTCAAAACATTAAATTATATGCGTTTTGTTTCTTGTTGAAAGCCACAGCTCTTTGGGAAATAATACAAAGATGCACGCATTTATTTCAAATTTTTTTTTTTTTGCTTATTTCATTAAACTTAATCTGTAACTTAAAGCAAAAAATTTATCTAATCTCTTTTGAAGATAAAAAAAAAAATCAACAAATCTGACATTTATGTACTTATTTGAGGTAGATAAGAATCAGTTTGAAGTTAGCTTAAGAGGCGCGTGTGCTGATAATCTGAGCACCACTCAAAATGTCAAGTTAACATTAACTAATAAGACTGCAAAACGATGCTTAAATAATTATTGGTATGGGCGTATGATTTGATTGATCGATTAATCGGCATGTCGATATTGAATTTTTGACAGTGATGCACACCTGCCAGCGCAAAATTCGACAAAAAAAAAGATTTTTTTTTAAATTTTTTTTAAAATTTTTTTTCTTAATTTTTTTTTCTTAATTTTTCTTGCGCAATTGAGCGCTCACAAGCATAGTTGAATGGTTTTGATGGAGAGCACCACGATGTGCTATTTGCTTATATCTTCTATGTAATTAAAATCTTCACACAAGGTCATCAACACACATACTTAAATACATGCATACATACATACATGCGTACGCCAGCAATGGCTGTCAGAAATCGCAAAGTAACGTGTCTGAAATTTCACTTTCAAAAATCTACAATTTGTTCTATTCAATTCTCTTCTATTTTGTTTATTTAATTTTTTTTTTACTATTTTTTGCTTCCACCGCCATTCAAAGTTGAATAAATAAATATTTAAATACAAAGAAGAAATAAGTAGTAATAAAATAGTAGTAAAAGGAAACGAGTCTATTCAATTGGAGCACTTTAGAGGTGAAGCACTTAACATTCTCTAACCATATAGTACAATCTGCATAAAAAAAGCTAAAAATAATATGAAGAAATAATAAAAAAATACATATGTACATAATACAAAAAAAAGATATATAAATAATTTCACGAGCTTAAGGCTCGTCATTTTGAAATACAAACATTTTTATTTTTCAATTTTAATATGTATATGTACATGCATATATATACATATATAAATTAATAGCGGAATACATCAAAATAGGTACAATAAAACGATAAATTAGTTATATTATATATAAACTCTTACAGGCCTACTGTGTCGAGGTAAGAAAATTTATTTTGATTTTAAAATTTACCATTTAGTAAATTTTGTTACTATTTCGTATTCTGAGCTCACTGTCACCCTGTAAATTTTGTTACCAGCGAAATAGGAGGTAACAAAATAATCTGCTGTTTGATTTTGTGTTCTTAGTTTCAGAAAAAATAAAAACCAAAATGGGTAGGCATATTTTAGGCCTGGAATTCATTGAAGACGAAGAAAAAAGTGCAAAAAACCGTATTTTAACAA